CCTGCTTCTGCAGGCTCAGGACACAACAGTCCGATAACAAATATGGCACAAGAAGAAGAAGAATTCAGTAAAAGGAAGTAACTGTAATGCATTATGTTTTCCCATTCATTACAGATCCCAAAGCAAATTGATACTTATTGCCCGTGGAAGATAAGTCTTTTGATGTCAAAATCGAGGCTAGGAAATGTGAGTTCTTGCATAGCAAAAATAATTATGAATTGCTATGGCTATCACTTTTTGCTAATTATTTATTTGGGAACTGAAAATAATCATAATTAACTGAAAACAATCACTATTATTCAATCACATTAAGTGAAGAAGGAAGACTTTCAAGACTTGGTTTCATAAATATGATGAGATCATCCAAGTCAGACATGTCAAATTTGCGATGTCACATGACATCGCGCAATGTATCGGGACTGTTTTATCATTGCCCGCAGTAGGGTGGGCGCAGCTTCCATGTGACATGTCCAGCCCACGAGCCCGCAGTTTGACACCCCTGATTCAAGTGATCTCATCTATGGCAGCGGAAGTTAGGAATACAGTTTTGGGCTTTGACACTGACTAGAACAAAAATTCTTAGAGATTTAATTAGATTTTTATATTATCTCTGGCTGGCTTATTTTTAAAAAAGTCTTTTCTCTCTCTCTTTCTCTCTTTAATTTCCGTGCTGCAATAAAACACGATATAGAGGTGTCATTTAATTTTTTGTGAAATATAAGAATGATGATATATCTCTAAAAATATGATGGTTTATTATTGAGAGCTGTGATATTTGGCAGCAGCTACCAAAATTTCAAGGTTGTCTAGAATGATATTATTTCCAGTACATTCTGGGGAAAAAAGAAAAGAAAATTGCACTACAGGTAATCTCCCAGATACAAGCATTTCTTTAGCGAGATTTCACAAAACCGAGGTTATTCAGAAAGGTACTTACATTAAAAATTCAAAATTGCTATTAAAAACAGGCCTCTGTAGTCATGTGACCTGGATTCAGTCTTGGCTGCTATGGCGCCATTTTAACTCTGTGACTTGCCTGGGCCTGTTTGAGCCTACAAGAAGCCGGAAGTGGTATTTTTTTGTGTGTGCCTGGTCACATGGCCAAACAAGATCCAGTGATTTTTGCAGCTGGCATCGACCATTTGTTTTTGTTTTTCTGGAGCTGCATGGAAGATCTGCTGCTTGCTGGGCTTGAGGACTACAGTACTGTAGAGAGCTAGAATTACTTCTGTAAGTATTTTAAAATATTCTTTTTTGTTACTCTATTGTACTATACCGTATTGTTTGTATTCACTTTGGGAACTGCTCTGTTTTTTATTGTGTTTGTAAGTACAGTATTTTGCAAGATTGTAAGTTTGCCTGAAACTTATAGCATGTGGCTGCTGCTGCTCCTCTACCTAACATAGACCCACCAGAGATTCTGCTGACACTTACTGGAAGGAAATCCCCACCCCCACCCCATTTTGGATTTTGCCTGGAGAGGCTTGTGCTGATCAGGAACAGTGTTTTTTTTTTAAAGGTTTTAAATTTAAATTGCTTCCAGAAGTTGTGGGTGTTCCTTCACTGGAGGGTTTTAAAAAGAGACTGGATAGGCATTTATCAGAAATACAGTACAGTACTGTACTCTCTTGTAGAGCAGTGGGTTAGACTAGATGATCTCAAGGTCCCTTCCAACTCAGTTACTGTTGCAAGCCAACAGTTCTGTAAACTTCACCCCCATCTCCCTCTGCATGCTTGCCTGGAGATGCTTAAAGCTACTTACTTTAGTGCAGGGGTGTCAAACTGCCGGCCCACGGGCCAGATGCATCCTGCTGAAACCACGCCCACTCCAGCTCCGGCAATGGGGAAAAAGTCATGATACATTGCGACACGTCACCTGACGTTGCTAATTTGACACCCCTGATTTAGTGGCAATTGCAATTTGGAGAATTCTCCACCCCCCTCTGAAGAAGTTTGAGCTGCCTAGCAACAAATGGTTGGGTTTTTTTTTGGTTTTTTTTTAAAAAGCCTGCTGCCTGCTTGGGAGGCAATTTACAATACTGTAGTTCCTGAAACAGCTGATTTGTGGTGGAAACAGCCTGCAGCAGTGGAGGGAAAAGTCTCTAAGTTCAGGCAGCCATCAGAGGAAATAATAAGTCAAATCTTCATTCATTTAAAACTCATTTGATTCAATTAATGAATTTGATTTAAAAATGTGTAATATTGAGTGTTGTGTCCTGAGCCTGCAGAAGCAGGCTCGGGATGATGCAAGAGTCCCGGGCAATTGCAAAAGCTGCCCGGGACCAGACTGAGCGGCACCGGCCTTGCGCACATGCGCAAGGTGGGAAAAGACTGCCTGCCATTGGTTGGAATTGCCCGGGGATCAGAGGGTATAAATAGAGGCCTGCGTGCCTCTGCTCTTGCTTGTTGTTGGTTGTAACGAGGGAATAAAGACTGTTAGCAATATGCATTGTTTCCTTCGCCATTATTCTCCGGACATAACACTGGCGACGAGGATGGGATCCAGTCTAGATAGCTAGGGAAGCTTGAAGACTCACCCAAAGAAGTCCGGAAGAGGGACGACGGCGTTGAAGTCAGCATCTATCCTGCCAGTACAGCATCGCTGGAGGGTGAGTGCGGCTGAAGAAAACCCTGTCCCTTGATCATGGCGAAAATTGGGCGGTTATCTGAATTTGATGTCTCTCACCCGGAGAAGTGGGAATCTTACGTTGCAAGGGTGGAGACTTATTTCCACGTGAATCACATAAGGGAAGATGGCCTAAAGGCTGCCACAATGTTGTGTGTTTGTGGGCAAGACGCCTTTGAGATCGCTGAAAATCTAGTCACCCCGGCCTCGCTAGAAACTGTTTCATACTCTGATCTGAAGAAAGCTTTGAAAGAACACTTCCAGCCTAAGCAATCTGTCATTGCTTGGAGGCACACATTTGAACTGAGGGATCAGCGAGCTGGGGAATCAGCAAAAGAATTCATTGCAGCCTTGAGAAGAGCAGCTAAACCGTGTGAGTTCAAGGATTTAGAGGAAAGGCTGCGTGATTGTTTTGTGTGTGGACTGAGGAACGGAGACTTACAGCAGAAGCTGTTTGCGAAGGAAGATGTCTCTTTCCAAGATGCTCTGCGAGAGGTTATGGCAGAGGAAGCCACGCTACTTCGGCTCCATTCCACACTTCCACCAACGGTTTGGCTGAACGAATGGTCTGTGTCGCCAAGGACGCTCTCAAGAAACTGACTTATGGCAACTGGCATCACAGGTTGGCTGACTTCCTTCTAGCCCATCATACTACTCCGTGCACTGCCACGGGTAAATGCCCGGCTGAGCTCCGTTGGGGTCGCCGGCTGGTGACTAAATTGGACAGGCTGCATCCGGAACGAGTAGCTTCACAGGTGTCTCAGCCGCACCCACCTCGGGTCCTGCATGTGGGTGATCCTGTCTGGGCCAGGAATTACGGGCCTGGACACCTCTGTCTGTGGTCTGCAAGGTCTCGGGGCCTCTGTCCTACGAGGTGTCCTTAGAAGACGGCCGTGTTCTTCGCCACCACATTGATCAACTACGTGTGAGGCAGGACTCACCTAGGTTTCCTCCTCAGTCTTTGCTGGGGGGGAGGAAGAATGGGAAATGCATTCTGGGAATCAGAATCAGCAGCCAGCACTGGCTGTTGAGGATGACATGGGTACGCAACACCCACATTCCGTAAGTGCTCCAAATAGGAATTCATGGGGCAGAGGGCAAACAGACACCTCCACACTCACTCCAGCCTGGGAGTCACACCGGAGGTATAATAACTACTCACAACTCACCAAAAATACTCCGGACAAGGAGAATGACTGGGAACATACATAGAACTCACAACATACAAGAGAGCAGGCACAACAGGATGGGGACATGCCCTTTTCAGCAATGGCTCGCACAAGGATGTCCCCACGTATTAGGGCTAACAGGGAGGTATCCTTGGATCCTATCACTACAGAAAGGAGCCAGGAAAATTACACACCTTCAGTGAACATTGAGATGAGTTCAGAGGGCTCAGAGAACTCTCTAAGAGGTAGGTCAACCAGGTATAGTGAACAGCAGAGTCCTGACTTCCTGAGCCTAGGAGGCGGGCAGGGAAGTCAGGCAGCAGTCATTAGACAACCACAGGGTAATTCACCTAGTGTGGAAAGCAATGGTGGGAACAATTCAAGCTCTCCAGGTCCGAGAAGGTCGCTACGGGTCAAGGGCCCTCCCAAATACCTTGCAGATTATGTAAGGTGAGCAAGAGTATAGGAACCTGGCAAGAGGTCCAGACTGGTTAGCTCTTAGGAAACTGGGTTGGGCGCATTGGCTCTCTGAAAAGACAGAATGGCCCCATACCTCTCACACTCTGTGCATTTAATGCATCAGTAAGTAATTAAAGGATCTACCACAGGTGGCGTCCATGTGGGCACAGCATTATTTTATCTAGGGGGGAGGGGTGTTGTGTCCTGAGCCTGCAGAAGCAGGCTCAGGACGATGCAAGAGTCCCGGGCAATTGCAAAAGCTGCCCGGGACCAGACTGAGCAGCGCCGGCCTTGCACACATGCGCAAGGCGGGAAAAGACTGCCTGCCATTGGTTGGAATTGCCCGGGGATCAGAGGATATAAATAGAGGCCTGCGTGCCTCTGCTCTTGCTTGTTGTTGGTTGTAACAAGGGAATAAAGACTGTTAGCAATATGCATTGTTTCCTTCGCCATTATTCTCCGGACTTAACATTGAGTCTGATTCTTTTGACGATTACGAGCCTAATGGGCAGGCTCTATTAGACCTGTATATCTGTATAATTATTGTAACTTAACAATTCACTGCAAATAAAATAAGTCTTCATAACAACACTAAATATATTTTATCATCTAAATCTTTTAATCTACAAAAATATGTTCCTCTATATTTGAATTATATATTTAGAATTTTCAGGTCACAGCTATAGAAAATTTATTACTGAATTTTAAAAATAACATTCTTACCTCTTATAAAATTACTTTCTTACCTGGTATTTCTGTAGGCTTTATAGTTGATTCTTCAATAACTAGAAAATAATCAAATATATTTTCAGTATGCAATTACTGTATAAGCCTTACTGCACACCCTTAATTTAACAATAAACAAGGATATGCAAGGCAATTTTTAAAAAATGTATTCTCAGTTACAGCAGATTTTTATACTGAATTACAGATTTTATGAAATGAGAATAGACAATGATACACTTTAAGACAACATTCAAAAATTTCTTTCACAGATATCTGGGTTTCCTTAAAAGTTTATATTGTTTGATATGAATCTGAGTTCATAATATATTCATTATATGAAACATTCTAGACTGTGTTTAAAGTATCTATCAGGAATGGTTTAAGACACAAAAGGTGACAATAATATTTGAGTCTATGGATAGAATAGACAACTAGAAATATAAAATTTCAGAAATAATAACAGATTAAAAGCAATCCAAAGTCTCCTACATTAGATGTGTCTAAAATATTATGAAATAACATTGGGTAGCATTATCCATGGCTGTTGATATTCTTTTTATTCAGTTCTGGGACCTGGGAGTAATAGATCATTAATGTCATAAAACAATTGATCTAATAATTAAGGAACAACAAATGATGGAAATTAATATTTGTTTATTAAAACTATACTGCTAAGAATATAACAATAGAAATAGCACCTAGATTTATGTATTGCTTCACAGTGCTTTACAGTCTTCTCTAAGTGGTTTACAGAATCAGCATATTGCCCTGAACAATCTGGGTCCTCACTTTACCGACTTTGGAAGGATGGAAGGCTCAGTCAACCTTGACCCAGTTAGACTCGAACTGCCAAACTGCAGTCAACTGGCAGTCATCAGAAGAAGTCTGCAGTACTGCATTCTAACTACTGTGCCACCACGCCACCAAGTATATTATATAGATAATTTACTTAATTATCTGTATTAAAATATGTCATTTAATAACTGGAAGCAAAAATCAATATATCTTGCCATTGATTCTATTTTTACTGCTATTATATTTCACATAATGCATTTTTTGAAAAATAAACTAAGCAGAACTAATGTTTACTCACTAGAACAGAATAACAGAATTGGAAGGGACCTTGAAGGTCTTCTAGTCCAACCCCCTACTCAGGCAGGAAACCCTATACCATTTCAGACAAATGCTTGTCCAGTCTCTTCTTATAAACTTCCAGTATTGGAGCATTCACAAGTTCTGGAGACAGGTTGTTCCATTGATTAATTGTTCTAACTGTCAGGAAATTTCTTCTTAGTTCTAGGTTGCTTCTGTCTTTGATTAGTTTCCATCCTTTGCTTCTTGTCCCTAACCCTAACCAAATTCTAGCAATCGTTCTTTATATGTTTAGCCTTCAGTCCCCTAGTCATCTTGGTTGCTCTTCTCTGCACTCTTTCCAGAGTCTCACACAAATATTATTTTCAATCTAATATTATGATAATTATCATGAGAAACTTACTTTTATTTCTTTTACATATAAATGATTTCAATTCATGATGGCAGTGCCCCACGGACCATTTTCCAGAATGACAATTCATGTAAATGCACTTATCAAAAAAGCCGTCATTGTTCTCTTCCCTATACTCTTCACTATATTCATTGTCCTCATCATTATCAAAAACATGTTCATTCCAGTTGACAAAGGCAACGTTATTATTATCTTGCCATAGCCATTCTCCTAATAAAATATAAAATAACATAATGATTAAAAAGGGAAAGAACTGCACTGTGATGAAAAGGTATATGCTATGGAAATACATTAACACTCACATTGATGATTTAATCTAGTTCAGGGGTAGGCAACCTTGGCTCTTTTATGACTCATGGACTTCAACTCCTAGAATTCCTGAGCCAGCCATGCTGAGGGGAAAGGGAGAGGTTTCCAAACTGAGCCATGCTGGCTCAGGAATTCTGGGAGTTGAAGTCCATGAGTCATAAAAGAGACAAGGTTGCCTACCCCTGACCTAGTTGGAAACATCTGCAATCAAATAACCAAATTCAGAGAGCACTGTGGACTCTGCAGTTCAACCCTGAACTACAGATACTGACTTCTATCAGAACCACATATGCATATTAAATGCTTTAGAAAACTTTGCAAATGGGAAGGCCAATCTCTACCAAGCAACAATTATTCCTTCTGCATGAATCTCTTTGGCACCATGGTGACCACTACATGTTTACGCTTGATCTTAGTCAAAATACAAACCTCCAATGAACTGCACACCTAGATGGAAAATAGCTCAAACAAGTGGCTGAAAAATGATACATCTAGTAACCATGATTGCTCACCTCAGACTGAACAAATACTAACATAGCATAGATAACCTTAAAAACCAGCCGGAAAAACCATGACCCCGGAACACGCAAAAATGCTGACAATCATCATTTGATATAGTTGTTTTATTTCTATTTGCAGGTCTTCGTATTTTGTGATTTTCTCCTGTTCTGTTCTTTCTCTTCTTTTCTCCCTCCAGGTACTGCCACATCCACTACCAAAGCTTTTTTTGTCTTTTTAATTAACAATCGTTAAGATTGGGGTGTTATGTGGCAAGTGATTGTCTGCTTACATTCTAAGGTCTCAGAACATTTTAACTACATCATTGTCTATTACTTTGTCTATTTTGTGATCCCACCAGCAATTGCTTGCAAATGGTATTTCTTGCAGATCTTCCAATGCAGCATTGCTGTTCCTTTGTCATGCCATTGTTTGTAATCAGTCTGTGTGATCTTCTTAAAGCAGTTAATTAGATGGTTCATGTTTTTTCCCAGCTTTTTTGTAGAGGCAGTATTTTCTCTGTGTTGCTGTCTTTTCAATTCTGGCTTTGTTTGAATTTGTCCCTAAGTCTTGGTCTTGTGTAGCCAGAATTAGCCCCTCGGTATCTTTCTTCAACTTTCCTGCTCTCAGACATTGCCAGGTCTTGTTGTTATCTACTTTGCCTGCATATTGGACACGCAGTACTTTGCTTTTTATATCTCTTTTCTGTTCTGTCTTTCTTGTATGCCATTTAAGTCTTTCCAGGATTCAGTAAGCCTTCATGGTATATTAATTTCAATGTATCTTCCTCACTGTCCTTCAGATACTCTTCCAATGCCATTTTCTTTTCTTCAGTTGTCTGAAACATTCCATGGCCACCTATTTTCTTCAATAAATAAAATCTGGCAACATGATGACAAGAATGAAGGGCATGATATACTGTAATTATTTTAATGATCTTCCTATCCATGGCTTCTAGTTCACTTTGAGTTCAGTCCACTATTCCAGCTGTGTATCTAATGACTAGAATTGCCCAGGTGTTGATTGCCTTCATGGTATTTCATCCATTGAGTTTGGATTTTTTTTAACTCTCTTGATGTATTCACTTCTAATCTTTTTCTTGACTTCAGTGTGCTTGATGTTGTCAACTTGAAGGATGCCCAGGTATTTATAATTATTTTCTTCATCTAGACTCTTGATATTATTTCTATAGAGCATTTTCATTCCTTAACATTTTCAGGAATGAATTAGTTTTTCCTAATGATGGTGGCATATTTGTCTAGCACAAGGTAGAAAGAGCTTTTTTTCAACTAGGTGCTATTGGACTGTATTACCATACCAGTTACCAATTTGAAACTTAACAGATAATTGGTCTGTAGTTTCCTTTTGTTGGATCTTTCATTATCAGTTAGGTTTTGCCAGATGTTAATCAATATTCCTTTTCAATTCCTTGCAGTACGTTGTTAGATTGCTTGGTAATAAAGTCAGATGTTTCAATCAAAACCCATGCAATTCATCTTCACAAGATGCTAACCAATCTTTGATTTTCCTTTTCCCTTTCTCTACCATTTCTCTTGTTATTAAAAGTTCTTTCATTTAACCTTTTTATTCTTATCCTCCTCCTTTATCCAAGCTTCATTCTTGTCAGGTGCAAAGAATCAGAACCATTTATAAGTTTGCAGTATAGAAGATTTATTCACAATAAATATACAATAATCTGGACAATTAAATTTCAACATTAAATTGGTGCCAAATAAGAGTTAATGGAATTAAGGAGGGTTTGGACTTTAAGGGCTTGTGGGAATGCAATGACTCCGAACTTTTACCTTCAATAATTTTTATTCATTTATCAAAATACAAAATACAAAGAGAAATTAAAAAAGTAATCACAAACTAGAAAAAGAGAGAGGGAAAAGAAAAAAGATAGTGTGAGAAAAGAAGAGAAAAGAAAAAGGCACCAACTTCTGAGTCTCTTTTGCACAGTAGAAGATAACATTACAGCCACAACTTTTTGCTTTTAAACAACAATATATAAAAACCATTTATATAACAATAAATCTAATTAATTAATAAAAACAAAATCAAGTTTTAATTTGCTTTTTCATTGCAAGCACAAAATCTGGAAGCAATTTCAAAATAGATACTAGCTTAAATATATTCTCATCTTTGGATAAAAGAGTCAGTTTGTCCATCTCTACTTCTTATTGCTGTGGGGAATAATATAAAAACAATCTTTATCCTAATTCATATTAAAAGAGTTCTCTATAGAAATTCAATCTTTTTTTAACCCTAAAGGAAAAAAAACACTTTACCTAGTTTTGATATTTTATTAAATTTAAGCAATACTCAAATATTATATATAAAAAGGAAAACAAAACAAAACATCAACAACAAAACCTTATTTATTTTAAACCAAAACTCAAAACTACATTAGGGATTTCACAGTATTACAAAAATAACAAAAAAACAAAAATAAAGGACATACATTTACCAACCTATTGTATACATATGAAGCTCCCTAATACTTTCTTCAATACATATGTCAAAGCTTATAAAAATCCATCCTAACTAATTAGATCATTAAATTTAAGTCACACCCTCCAGCTTGTCTTCCTGGAATGATTTTTTTTTTCCTCTCAAGGATGACACTTTTCTTCAAGGAGCTTTCAGCCTGTAAAGTTTCCATCTCTAAAATGTCAATCATATATTTTTTTCTCAAGAATTCTCGGCCTTGTTGATGTCCATAAGAAAACCCCCCAAACTTGACCTCTTAAGAGTTGTGAATTTACTTGACACTCTTGTTTCAGTTGCACTGGGAGGATTTTATTCAAACCATCATAATAAAAACTGATGTCAGATTTATATTCCAAAAGTACAGTTAGGTTATTTGCGTTATCCAGCATTTGTAGGGTTGACACAGTGGGTTAATAGTTGATTATCAACAGTGAGTTGATAATCTTTTTTAATCTCCTTTGTATCACTAACATCTTTAAACCCTAGGGAGTTTATTGTATACTGTATATGATGTTCTGTATAGACTTTTAAAAATGTCTTTAATGTCTTTAATAACAGATTCCAGCTCAGAGTTAGATGTCTTCATGTTTAACTTCAGCTCCCTCTAGTAGTCAAAAAATATTATTTATTTCTTTTTTTCCCCTCCTTTCCTTTTTCTGGCCAATCAGAGTTCATGAAAATCAGAAAATTTCCTCCACCCACAGCACACTACTAGACTACAACTTATTTTAAAAGTAATAAATTAAAAGCCACAATTTTTATCCTTGTATTTCAAAAGAAAAAGTAATCATGCTTCCTTCTTTTTGGCTGCCTTCAGAAACCCTCTTCCTTGTCATTTAACAACAAAGGAGCCTCAAAGATGGTATATAGCTTCAAAAAGGAGTATTAGGGCCTAGGCGGTGAGAGCCTCTTTTAGCTCATAAGAGTAATAATCTCATAAATTGATTAAGAAATGAAGGGCACAACTTATTGTTCATTTGAAAAATAAATTCCAAAATGGCTGTTTTATCCAACTCCGATGTGCTTTCTGCCCTGACCTCCAGTTTCAGCTCACCGGCTGTTCTGAAGCTCCGTTTCTAAAATTGCTTGCAGACTGAGGCTATTATCAGAGGATCTTGAGGGATGATTCTGGGACACTCCCTAATCCAGGAGGGTCAAATAAACAAGAGGAAGCCTGTTCCTTCTATTGCTGAGTGGGGAAAAACGGCAGTCCAGAGAGAGGAGGTTCTCTGGATGTGTCAGCTGCTGGCCCTGTCTCCACTGGAAGTCAACAATGACTCTTAACTGTTGATGTCTTAATTCTGCCCCACAGCTGTGCCCGCTCTTCTACATAGTTGTATTTTTTTTAGTTGTGCTATAGCTGTGCACAGAACTGTAATGTACTATAGTTGGCTTATGTACTGTAATGTACTGTAGTTGGCTTATTTCTTGCTGATGTTTATATCTGATTTTATAGTGTTGGCAGTTTTACTACTTATGCTATCTGTTTCTTTGTAAACTTAAATGCAGACAGCCTTAATCTGCTGCTTTTTTGTTGTTCTAGCTGCTCATTTATTTCTGGTTTTAATTTTTCCTTTTTAGTTAGAGAACTTTGTTCTTACTGTGGAAAAAACAGAAGAGAGTGTGCCTGGCTTGGAAATAAAAGCAATTTACTAGCTATACTGACTTCCTCTACAGCTCATTCTCTCTGGTTTGCCTCTATAGTCTGATAGGAAATACTTCTGGCAAACAGCTACAGTGAATATATTAAATTGTATTATAAATCTGTGTTAATCTGGTAACATCTGTTCTGTTATTTTTGATTCTGGATGTTCTTTTTAAAACTGTACATTCTTTTTAGATAGCCTCTATTCTTGGAATTGATTTGTAATAACAGACATTATTTCTTTGTTTTTATTCTTTGTATATTTGCAATGGGTAAACAAATTTTATCTGGTCTTGGTTGTTCAGCCAACAGTTCTGGATCCTATAGTCCATTTGTCACCATTTACCCAGGAACTCTACCCCTAAATATGGTTCTTTTTGTCCAAAGTGATGATTGATCCGGTATGAGTTCCTGTAACTCACATCTCACCGTATTGTTTTTGGAGAGACACTCTTCATCCAGCATCTTTGATGAGACTTGTCTGGTATGATTGAATACCTGGCATACCTCTCATCTTCCCCAGGGCAAACAAGCCCCACAACCCCACTATGTCAAGATAGTGTTTCAATGGGGGGGGGATTATTATTACTAGCTATATAAATATTAGTTATATAATTACCATCCAGATTTTTGAACAAGCCTATCCAATATTCTGCATCTTCAAATTTTTCCATTTGTTCCTGTAAAAATTGTAATTCATCTGAGTCTTCAATTGAAGTCAAGGTGCCACCTATGAAACATAAAATGAATAAAAGAAGCTTATTAACAGGTTTGATTTCCACCCCGCCAAAATAAGGGTCATTTCACAAGGCATAACCAATTATTTATTGTCTAGCATAAGCAATAATTTTAGTTTTGAGTATTGTAAAGAAGCAAATAGTCCTGTTTCTAAAACTGATTAGATCTGTATTACTTAATATGTTTATGACAAAACCCACGGCAACTTATTTTTTGTATATAATGATACTAAAAGTTAAAGCTGATAATTTAAGCAAACATCTGCAAAAATAGTATTTTGTACAATGGAATGGAATGAAGGGAGCTTGGTGCTCTCTGAGCTTGACTATTTTCTTGCAGATGTTTCATTACCCAAATTCGATAACATCATTAATGAAGCACTGATGATATTATCCGGTTTGGATAATGAAACATCTGCAAAAAAACAACCAGGCTGAGAGAGCACAAGGAGCCCTCATTTCAATCCTGAGTTACAAATATTCTCCTTTATTGGAAAGACAAATTTATTTTGTTCTAAATTCTCCGTAGTATTTGAGATCCCCTACCCCAAAGAATAAAAAGAATAAGGAAAACTATCAAGTCTTCCAAGGTAGCTGGTATTTCAAATTATTCTATATTTATAAGGCGCTTTAAAAAAGCTTCAAAAGGATTAGAATTATTGCTTTCCAATATCATATATTCTATTGTTCTATAAAAGAGAATATATTAGAATGAATTTGTTATTATATCACATGCAACTTGATGAGTTCATGTCTCATTAGCCATAGAAACAGAACAAAATGATGGCAAATAATAAATGACAAGCACTCATGCACACTCTTGTGTTTTTATGACCAAAGTATCTCTTTTGATTCACTCCCTGAAGCTGAACAGCACAAATGCATCATAGAATCATGGGCTGGTTCTAGTCCAACTCTCTGCTCAAGACAGGAGTCCTTATTCCTACCTGGACAAATGAATGCCTAAACTTTTCTTGAAAACCTCCAGCAAAGAAGCACCCAGAACTTTGGGAGGTAAGCTATTCCATTGGTTAATTGTTCTCTTTTCAGGAAATTTCTCCTTAGTTCTAGGTAGGATCTCTCTTTAATGAGCTTCCACCCATCACTTCTTGTCCTACCCTCATGTGCTTTGGATAATAAGTTTATCCTTCATGTCTGTGAGTGATCTTTAAGTACTAGAATACAGCTATCATGTCACCCCTAATCTTTCTCTTTGTTAGGCTAGACATACCTATTTTCCTTAACTGTCCATCAAGGTTAATGTTTAATGTTAACCTCTAAGGTTAAGTTTAATGTTGCATCAAGGTCTTCTTGAGCTCAGCTGAGTCTATGTGAACATGCCCAAAATATAATTCTATCAAGGCAACTAGTAGGATAAAGCCACTGCCACATTGCTTTCTGAGCTGTCATGTGCCAATGTCTTCTAGGCATGTCCAGACATATTGAAGACCCTTAAACAATCATATCAAGTCTCAAGTGACTACAGCTGGTATGTGGCTTCAAGGAATGGATCTAGTGTTAAATGCTCCTCCCTATCTTATCTTTATAATAAATATCATTTTAGCCTTGTCTCATGAAATTCACTAAAAGTTTCTGTGGGAAGTCACCCCCCAGAGAAGGAAATATTAAAAGGCCAGAATATTATATTTCCTCAAAGGATCTTAAAGAGGCAGAAAAGCATGCCCAGTTTTTCTTAATAGCCCCAAGTCTCACTCTCCCAAGCAGAAACCAGCTCTGTAGAAATGCAGATGTAATAATCCATTCGGGAAGGTTGGAGACCTCCAGCTAAAGCTTGGGAAGACAAAGACACCTAAAATCTACATATCCCACCCAAACTCTAGGATAGGACATAATAGGATTAACCCACCACCACCAGAATGCCAGAAAGGCACACTCAGACTCAGGTCAAAGTACATGACACAGGAAATACAAAGCCTCAAACAGGAGCAGGAAACAACTTCAAGAGCCCCAGAAAGTTTAAAACCCAGTCCCTACTATATGTGCTCACTCTTTTCTTCCAGAGCCATGTTTCTGTCTGGCTCTCTTTTTTTTATCCTCTTCAATAAACTACAACCTTCTTTCTAAAGCAGTCGCCATGTTGTTTATTCCTGTCTTGGACTGGATGGACCCTGATGAAGACCGGACAGCCATTTGTCTGAAATGGTATAGGGTTTCCTGCCTGAGCAGGGGGTTGGACTAGATGACCTCCAAGGTCCCTTCCAAGTTTATTATTATTATTATTATTATTATTATTATTATTATTATTATTATTATTATTATTATTATTATTATTATTATTATTATTATTATTATTATTATTATTATTGCACAGGCAGCCAGATGTTCAGACTGGATTTGGCATTTTGTCTAACTATCGAGTCCTTACCAAGGACTTGGGATAGGCAGATGTGGATGTTTGATGGTATTACAGATATCGTCGCAGGATGGAAGCAGTTCCTAGTAAGGCTGCCTTTTGCAATTGACTAATGGCGAATTTGTCAATGCCAGTGGTGTTCCAGTTGTTTTGGGACTGCACCCAAGGCGCCTATTACTATTGGTACTACCCTTGCTTGCTTTTGCCACAGTCTTTCTATTTCTATTTGTAGGTTTTTGTATTTTGTTATCTTCTCCAGTTCTTTCTCGACTATTTTGCTGTCTCCAGGCACTGCCACGTCCACTATCCAGACTTTTTTGTCTTTCTTATCGACAATTGTTAAGTCCGGGGGTGTTATGTTGCAGGTGGTTGTCTGTTTGAATTTTGAAGTCCCAGAGCACTTTAATTTTTTAAATTTTCTATGATTTTCTCTATTTTATGATCCCACCAGTTCTTGCTTACAGCAAATGATATTTCTGGCAGATCTTCCAATGCACCATTGTTGCTACTTTGTCATGGCGCTGCTTGTAGTCAGTCTGTGCGATCTTCTTGCAGCAGCTTACCAGGTGGTCCACTGTTTCTTCAGTTTCTTTGCATAGGCAGCACTTACTATCTGTTGCTGTCGTCTCAATTTTGACTTTATATGCATTTGTCCTTAAGGCTTGGTCTTGTGCAGCCAGAATTAGTCCCTCGGTCTCTTTCTTCAATTTTCCTACTCTTAGCCATTGCCAGGTCTTGTTATTATCTGCTTTCCCAGCTATTTTTTTAATGTACTGGCCATGTAGTGCTTTGTCTTCCCATGCCTCTATTCTATTCTTCATTTGGTCTTTCTTGTAGGCCAGTTTGGTCTCTCCAGTAGTCAGTAAGCCTTCCTGATATACTAATTTTCAGAAGAAAAAATGGCTTTGGAAGAATATCATCACTGTCCTTCAGATATTCTTCCAAAGCCATTTTTTCTTCTTCAACCATCTGATGTACTTGCAGCATTCCATGCCCACCTATTTGCCTTGTTAGGTAGAGTCTGTCATTGTCACTGTGTGGATGAAGGGCATGATTCATTGTCATTATTTTTCTGGTCTTACTATCCATTGCTTTTAGTTCTGCTTGAGTCCAGTCCACTATTCCAGCTGTGTATCTAATGACTGGAATTTCCCAGGTGTTGATGATGATGATGATGATGATGATGATTGTTATTGTTGTTGTTGTTGTTGTTATTATTATTATGAATTTTCCTTCAACATTTCTTTTCAGTGAACTAGGTCATTTTCCATCCCACCAGAAGGTTTTGCTCAGTGGAAACATTTCTTTTAGTAATTATTTTCAGTGGATGTATAAAACAGAAAGATATTTATTTCTCTTTATATTATTCTCATTATATATGGCATCTTTCTACATCCTCATTCTGCTTTTTCAAGAGCTTTGTAGGGTAGAATATGATATCTCAATCTGCCATCGGCGGGCGAAACGTCGGCGGTGGCTCAGGAGTTCCTGGCCTCCATGACGACCATGGACTTGACCCAATTAGTTCATGCACCCACTCACATAGGAGGTCACACACTGGATCTGATTTTTGTCTCTGGCCAGTGGCAGAATGATCTGGAAACGGGGGAGATAGTCATAGAGCCCTTGTCATGGTCAGATCATGCACTCCTGAGGATGGACTTCCGGACCGCTTCCCCTCGCCGCAGGGAGACGGAACCACTTAGATGGTTCCGTCCCAGGCTCCTGATGGACCCGGAGAGGTTCCTGACGGAGCTTGGGCCATATCCGGAGGCGTNGGCCCCGGGGGAGGTGACGGGAGCAGGTCTTGAGACTGTTATTTGGGAGGAGTTTGACTCTGTGACTCCCGATGACGTGGACAGGGTCCTGGGGAGACTGAATGCAACCACATGTTTGCTGGATCCGTGTCCCTCCTGGCTGGTACTGGCGGCTCGGGAGGGTACACGAGCCTGGCTTCAGGGAATTATAAACGCTTCTTTAGGGGAGGGTGCCTTTCCCACGGCCCTTAAAGAGGCGGTGGTGAGGCCCCTCCTTAAGAAGCCTTCCCTGAACCCAGATGTATTGGCCAACTATCGTCCAGTCTCCAACCTTCGCTTTGTGGCGAAGGTTGTCGAGAGTGTGGTTGCACAGCAGTTTCCTCGGCACCTGGAGGAAACAGTCTATCTGGACCCTCTCCAGTCGGGCTTCAGGCCGGGTTATAGCATGGAAACGGCATTGGTCACGTTGGTTAATGATCTCTGGAGGGCCCGGGACAGGGGTTATTCCTCTGTCCTAGTTCTTTTGGACCTCTCGGCGGCTTTTGATACTGTGGACCACGGTATCATGCTGCGGCGGTTGGGTGGGTTGGGAGTGGGGGGTACCGTGATGCGGTGGTTCTCCTCCTTCCTCACCGACCGTACGCAGTCTGTATTGGCAGGGGGACAGAGGTCGACCCCAAGACCCCTAACGTGGGGTCCCACAGGGGTCGGTCCTCTCTCCACTTCTGTTCAATATTTATGTGAAGCCGCTGGGGGAGATCATTCGTGGCTTCGGGGTGGATTTCCATCAGTACGCTGATGACACTCAGCTGTACATATCCACCCCGGGCCACCCCAAAGATGCCCTTGACGTGATGGCCCGGTGCCTGGAGGCCGTGAGGGTCTGGATGGGGAGGAACAGACTCAGACTCAACTCGTCCAAGACCGAGTGGCTGTGGCTACCAGTGCCTCGGCATAGTCAGCTGACCCCATCGCTGACTATAGGGGGCGAAACTTTGGCCCCCTCAGATCGGGTCCGCAACTTGGGTGTTCTCCTGGATTCGCGGTTGACATTGGATGACCAGTTGTCGGCCGTGACCAGGGGAGCGTTTTATCAGGTTCGCCTGATCCGCCAGTTGCGGCCGTTTCTGGACCGGGACGCTTTACGCACGGTCACTCACGCCCTTGTGACTTCCCGCCTGGACTACTGCAATGCTCTCTACATGGGGCTTCCCTTGAGGAGCACCCGGAGGCTCCAGCTAGTTCAAAATGCGGCTGCGCGGGCGGTATTGGGAGGGACTCGTCGCTCCCATGTTACGCCGCTTTTGCGCGAGCTGCATTGGCTGCCGGTAGCCTTCCGGGTGCGCTTCAAGGTGTTGACTATTATCTTTAAAGCGCTCCATGGCATCGGACCTGGTTACCTTCGAGACCGCCTCCTGCCACAGATTACCCCCCACTGACCTGTACGCTCTCACAGAGTGGGTCTCCTCAGGGTGCCGTCAGCCAGACAGTGCTGGCTGGCGACCCCAAGGGGGAGGGCCTTCTCTGTGGGAGCTCCCACCCTCTGGAACGAACTGCCCCCAGAGATCAGGGTGATCCCTGATCTCCCTTCCTTCCACCGCGCCCTCAAGACGTGGTTGTTCCAGCTAGCGGGACTGGCCTAAGGGATCTTAAAGGGGTTTTAATTACTTTTAATTCGACATACTTAAATATTTCATTTTAATTAAATTTTAATTAGGTATAACATGTTAGTATTTTATTCAATTGTCAGCCGCCCTGAGTCCGCAAGGAGAAGGGCGGGATACAAATGTAAATAATAAATAAATAAATAATAAATACGATAAAACTTGGGGTTGCTGGCTGAAGATTTCTGTATTCAAAATAATTGTAAATGTAGACACCAGCAAGATTTCTGTAAACATGGAAAATTACTGTTTTTGTTATGTAGCTCAAAATGATACTAACCTATCTGATTACACTTCAGGGATGCTTCTGGCCAAAATCTCATTATATCATAAAATTTATAACAATGTCTTCTAAAAGGAATCCAAGATATATGGCTGTTCTTGGAGGTTGGGCATTTTCCTGGCAATTGTGGAATCTCAGTTGGCACCACACCTGTTATAAAACAAATAAGGTTTTTTTATTAAAGGAAATACATATGTTTTAGCAACTAGCCACTAACAAAATTATTAATAATAGTAATAATACACAGTATAATGAAAAAATACAGCAAGATATAAAATAAATTTCATGTTTTTTAAAAAAAATAACCTTTGTTGATATAAGCCACTTTATGTACTAACTGAAAATTAGTGCAGTACACAAATTCTATTAAAATAGACATATTAATTTACTTACCATTGTATCTTTCGCAAACAGAGAAGTATTTTTCACTGCAATTTCCTGTTTTCCAATAACCATTAATGTCTAGGTAGACACAGGCTGTTTTATGCATTGGCTCTTCAGCAGCCCAGTTAGTGTACACCAGCCTCCAGTTACTTACCCACTTGTACACACCATTACTCTAAAACCAAAATGCATAAGAGAATAATTATAAGAAGTGCAAGAAAACATTTTATTTATTTAATTTCAGTATCGATAATCCTCACTTAATATCTCTAACTGTGACAAGAATTTACATTGCTAAGGAAAACACTCATTTAGTGAAACATGGTGTGACACACATTTAGCAACAGTAGTCCTGTCAGTCTTGGTTGTGGAATGAGTCCTGATTGTGTAATTAGCCAGCAGTGTGCGGTAGCACCCAAAAAAGCTAATAAAATCCTTGGTTGTATAAACAGAGGCATAGAATCAAAATTATGTGAATTATTAGTACAGCTTTAGTACTGTCTTAGTAAGATGACACCTGGAATACTGCATCCAATTTTGGTCAGTACATTACAAAAAAGATGTTGAGACTTTGGAAAAAGTGCAAAGAAGAGCAACTAAGATAATTAAAGGCCTAAAGACTAAAACATATGAAGAATGATTGCAGGATTTGGGTTTGGCTAGTCTGGAGAAAAGAAGGACTAGGGGAGACATGATAGCAGTATTCCAGTATTTGAGAGACTGCCATAAAGAGGGGGGATCAACTTATTTTCCAAGGCACCAGAAAGCAAGACAAGAAATAATAGATGGAAACTAAGCAAGGAGAGAAGCAACCTGGAATTAAGGAGAAACTTCCTAACAGTGAGCACAATTAACCAGTGGAACAGCTTGTCTTCAGACATTGTGGGTGCTTCATCACTGGAGGTTTTTAAGAAGAGACTGGATAGCCACCTATCTGAAATGGTAGAGGGTCTCCTGCTTGAACAGGGGGTTGAACTAGAAGACCTCCAAGGTCCCTTCCAACTCTATTCTGATTGATGGTGATCATTAGGCAATGGCTGCACCATTTTTAGGCAACAACCTCACATTTTCCCCTACTCTGCCACACACACCTTTGCTTCAACTCCCCACACAGTTTCTCTCCCCTCTGCAATTCTGGCTACTTCCCACTCCACCACTGCCCCATCACCTACCCCACCACCTCTCCACAACAACCTTGCAGAAGGCCAGGAGCTGTTTCAGCCAGATGTGCCTTGTCAGCCATGGAATGAAAAAATCAGGGAGGGTTGGCTCAGGACAGTGAGGGATGGCAGGGTAGGCATGGGCAGGGATGGAGTCCATGCCAAAAGGGCAGGGGGGAGTTAAAGAGGTAGGGGGAGCTGGAGCGCTTTCTGCCACTCTGAAAGTGGTCAGGCTGCCAAAAACCTGAATTTTGATCATGTGACCCCAGGAGTATTGCAATTTGAAGACCATCCATAACTATCATAACTTCAAGTGGCCATTGAATGAGTGCTTGTTACATGAAAACTACCTGTACCCCTTTTTCATTGCCAACTGGACTCCATGTCCTCTTCCTTAACTGTGAGAAAAGCCACTCAGTTACTTAAATGGGAACAATATAAATCTTTTACAGAAATAAATCAAATCTATGAAAGCATTTGGTCTTCAAAGTCCACGCAGAACATTGTCACATATATATATCATGTCAGGTGCCTCATTTATAACAATGATAAGGAGTAAATGCAATTTTTGCATTTATGACCTTAAGATCACAACCACAGTTGCAGTTTCACTTAGTGATCTCTTTGTTTAACAATTCAGTTACCAATCCCAAATATAGTTGCTAAACAGAGACACCTGTAGTCATTCCACTTTCTAGTCTCCCAAAATCCTGTTCTTGAGTTTCTTATCTATGTGACAATTTTTTCAAGTATACAATTGTGAATATATAGATTTTGTTCTTACCTCTTTGCTGCTTAGTCCAATCCATACAGGCTCCTTATATTTGAGCACCTGCAGCCATATGAATGATTCTGCATAGGGGTCTACAATGCTGGCAAGTTTTGAATTTTCAGATTCACATTTCTTCCTTGCTTCTTCCCAGGTCATCTTGGGACTAACCATAGAATAGCTGCTATTTCCATAACTGATAAAGTGAGATGCTGGAATTGTTGGTTCAGAATAAGGCAATGGACCTATTTTTTTATATATATATATAAATCAGTCAAGACTACCCTCAGTTCTGCTTTTATTTGTTTCTGAAAACCCTTAATATTTAATTTCTCTCCTTTCTTAAAATATCCTCCCAGTTCCACACCATGACAACATTTCATGCAAAAAAAAAAAATCAAGAGCACATTAAACAAATAGGTACAGTAAGCCGCTTTAAGGAGACCTTCTTGAGATATAATATTAAATGTATATCTTTAGTTAGCTCAAATATGTGAAGTCATGAACTCAGGCCATCCGTTGAATACCAGTAAAAATATATTTAAATATTCAGGCTATAAGAACTTTTAATCTAATCTAATCTAATCTAATATTTAAAACTCTTAATTGTTTCATTAAATCTCTAATCTAGGCTTCCGGTTCTGCGCAGGTAGTGCACCAGCCAAGGGATTGAGACAATCCGATCTCTACGGCTGATTTCTCTCTGTTTGGGGACCCTAAATGGGCCCAAAGCCACCCCGGAGAGGTGGCAAGGAAGGAGGGAAGCCCCGTCGATCCTGGGGAGATGGCAGTTGATCTGGACATCTGGGGAAAGCTCTCCAAAAACTGACAGAAGAAAGGCTAGCGTCATTCATGAATCTAGCCCAAGCCACATGCAGCCGATGCAAAAAGCACTAAACCAAGCGTGATTGTAAACAGCATGACTGAACTGGGTAAGAATGTTGATTTTCTCTTTTCTACCTGTCTGATTTCCTGAGAAAAAAAGAAAAAAAACAGAAGTTAAAATCCTCCGAAAGTGAGGGAGGGATGTCTTTGTTCCACCCTCCTCTAAAGGAAGCGGAGAAAAAAATTTGAAAGATGGACTAATGCTGACATCTAGTGGTGGATGAAAATACTGCCCTAAATATACAGCCCAGAAAGAGAAGCCTGTTGTCTTGACCTTCAAGGTGTCAATTAAACAAAGAACAGCCGGACTATCTACAAAGTGAGAACTATAAAACTTAGAAAAAATTGACCTTCCTGGATTATAAATATTTTTTAAATTGAGACTTTAAAGTGATTGGCAGAGAAAGGACTTTTGGTCATTATGGAGCATCAGAGATCTGCAGAAAGAACATACCAAGAAAAAAAATAAATACTTACCAGGAGGAAATGTTTGCTCTGTTACAACAAATGCAAATGATATTAACTTCAAACCATGAGGAAATTAGAAATGAATTTGAAAATTTAAATGAATGCATTCTCAATTTAACATCACAACAATCAAATGATCAGAAAACAAAAAAAGAGACAACTGAACATAAGCTAGTGAAGTGGAGAAGGACTTACAAGAATAATTGAACATTGAAAAGATAACCTTAAGATCACAAAGTAAATTTGAGGAATATGAAAAAGATTTGACAAAATGGATTGCTGAGTCGTTGGGAGTACCAGAAGAAATGGGAAAGCAAGGGATGATGAGAAAAATCTTCAGTGAATATGAAGGGGCAAAATCTTTTTACAAAGACATGATGTTTGATTTGTCTACTATATCCACAATAACATTTACAAGATTATGGAAAGACTCTTTGATGCAATGGAATATACTGATTGGGAGAGATGCTTGGCAAAAGAAGAGGGCTAAAATGAGAATTGAGGAATTAGATGATGGAGTGTATCAGAGGGAATATTTAAAAATTAAACACTTTTTGAATATGGTTGAAGAAACTGAAAGATTTTAGTTTAAGAGGGATGAACTCTCTAAGTAAGACAGTATCTTTTTTCTTTTCTTTTTCAATATGAGAACTATAAAAATGTGTGGGATGATTAACATAAAGGAAATGTTTTAGATATTTAAATGTAATTGATTTTAAGAAAATTCCAATGGATAACTAAAAATGGGAAAATGTTTTGAATAGAGTTAAAAGATTAGATGATTGGATTTATTAAATGGAACAGTTAAAGATTAAACATAGGTTTAATTATGGGTAAAAAGAACAAAGAATTTGGAAATAAGTGTATACTAATTCAAAAGGGATACGTATTTTAAGTAGTATATTATTTTCTTTTTTTTCTTTTTTTTCTTTTTTTCTTTTTCTCTCTCACGTCTTTTCTTTTTCTATGTCTTTCTTTTATGTCTTTTTCTTACGTATTTTTAAGATATGAAAATAGATTTAAATACTTCAAGATAATTAATTCTGGGAAAATTTTAACCAGTAGAAATATTTTGATCCTTGTAGGGAAAGTAAATTTAAATAAGAATTGTAAACAGGATTTGTGATGAGGCACCCAAGATGACCAGATAGAAAAGAAGCATGATATTGATGAGATTATTATTAGTAGAAATTTTAGAAAAATCTTTATATTTAATTGTTATCTATCAAATTAATAAAATTGTATTAATTTAGGTTGCAAAGAGAATATTATTGGAAGAACAGAAAATCAAGCAGTTATATGTGGATTTTGGAATATAGAAATTAACCGATAGTGATTACTTTCTAAATATAAACCCAGACAACACGCTGTTTACCAAATATCAAGATGTTTATATTAAAAAATCAATAATATATATATATATATATATATATATATATATATATATATATATATATATATATATATATAAAGAAATTTTAATCTAATCTAATCTAATGACTTCTTTAAATCTCTTGATTGTTTCATTAAATCTCTAATATAACAGCAGGAGGGAGCTTTTGTGGACATAGTTTTGGCCTTTTGGCCAAATAACTGATTCAATGCTACTAAAAGCCTTTGTACTGGGCTTCAGATATTTGGTATCACGATTATGTTTATTAGTTTACTTTATTTAAATACATCCTGAGGTTGATGGTACTGTGATTTAAGTTTACAATTTGTATACATTCCTTCACTATGGACTTTCTTGGTTAGCATATTTGACTTATTGCAGTCTTATTTGCCTCAGACGTGTTTGTTCATCTAGGTTTTTCTTTATATATATATATCTTCACATCATAACAATATCTCATATTCAAAATATGGGTCTTGTCTAGTTAAGTATATTTTATTTTAAACCTCCTAAATATGCCCACACTCCATTCTTCTTCAATCTTATTCTGTTTTTTTTTCTCTGCCAAATCATCTTCCATGTTCTTGCTTCAGGATCCTCAAAGATTTTTTGTATTATTGTATATATTATGTCATATTGAGATGACCATCCAGTCGCCATTTTTGGAAGGCTGAGGGGTCTGGCAGGATTACCAGATTGTCTCTTTATTTTCTCCTCTTGACGTAGTTGTCCTGAATTATTTATCTTTTCTTCCATATGTTTCTCTTCTTGATCTTCAAATTCCTTCTGATTTATATAGCAGGTTTTTTTCTCCATCCAAGTTGTCAGATTTTTTTCTGAATTTTCTATTGTCTGTACTTGTTGGGCAGTTAGGTCTTCTGTGGTAATATTTAATTGTTCGATTTTTTTCCGTTGTATTCTATATAAATAGGTTTTTAGTTATAGTCAAAGTTTGAGTTTGCATATCTAAGATGCTTTCTGGTTTCCCCCCGAAAGCTCTTATTTCATCGCCAGCTTTAAGAAGACTTTGATAAGTTTGGTAAGTTATTTTCAACATAGCAAAAATTTGTTTTTGCATTTCTTCTACAGGAAAAGTCTGTTCCTAGACTTCCATAGTGATGAGTTGAGTTGAAAACTTTCACAGCTTCCCCCCCCAGTAAATAAGAAACAGAGCTAAAACTCTCATAGATGGTGTTCAAGGTTACCAGATAAATCTTATCTTGTTTTCTAAACTGTCAGCCAGGTCTATTTTCTTTAAGAATAATAAATTGCAATTTCAGGTTTAGCCACAAGATGTCACCCCACTGTTTAAGGAATTCCTTTAAATCTCAAAGTTATTATAATCCTTTTTTTGGGGGGGGATTCTTCTATTTTAAGAGGAAAAATCCAGACTTTTGAATAAAAATTAAAAGTAAAAAGTAGATAATTAAAAATCTTTTAATCCACAAGCTTTAGGAAATAAAGTTCCAGTTGGGATCCATTTATTTTTTCAATGTTTAAAAAAAAAAAAAAAAAAAAGCTCCCCTGTGTATTCAATTGCCGTTGTTTCTGGAGGGAGGGCTAAAATCCCCTTTCCCTCTCCACAAGGGGGAAAGTACTTTAGAAGCTTATGCAGGTAATTAAGTAATTAGGATGTAAAAGAGGTAGTTCTCACCCAATTCTTCCCACGCTGCTTTAAAGTTGCTAGATGGTAAGTGTGACTTCAGCTGTTAGCAGCCTAGGGACGAGCCATATTTCTATGGCTGGTCCTTTCGTCTGCCGGTTTGGAGGGATCGCCTCCTCTAACAGGAGAGTTGCTACTCTCCTGCGATCCAGCGATCCTTGCTGGTCGCCTCTTCGGGGTGACTTTTTGCCCTTTTCAGGGCCCCCCAGCGATGTGAAACTGAATGGGGGAGAGAAGTACTTTGGAACTGAGGATGTGGCAGCACAAGGAAACAACAGCCAATAGCTGTCCATCAACACACTAATCAATCAATAGGAAGCCACACCCAACCACATACCACATAAATATGATGCAGACAGCAGCCTAAAGCACAAATTCTAGTAGAGAGAAGTACCCTGAGGATAAACTCCAGTCCAACAGCTTGGAAGACTAAACCTCTGGTCCCAGTGTCCAATCCAGATTGGATTCTATAAATTAAATGTTCCTATTTTCTGAAATTGAATTATTATCCAAGACTTCTATAAACTTACCAGTATTTTTTTGGCAGATGTAGCTCCTCTGAGAAGAACAGGATCCAACTCTCCAATATCCTGCAAGCCTTTCAGGTTTTCTCATCATAAAAACGCAGTCACCCTACAATATTTAGGCATAGCAAGAAAGCCAAATACAATCACTGGTATCATGATTGGAACAGTCTTTCTGGAATCCTTCCTTTATAATCTCAAAAGAAAAAAAAAGTGTTTTTCTGTTTCTGGTAACTACATAAGATGATCACCATATGACTAGCTGCCATTTGTCATTGTGTCCTATAGTAGTGATGGCAAACCTTTTAGAGACTGAGTGCCCAAACTGCAACCCAAAACCTACTTGTGCATCGTCGAGTGCCGGGTGGGGTGTGGCCCATTGGGTGGGCGGGGCCCAATAGGTGGTGCCTGGCCTACCGGCCCGTCTGGTGAGCTTGATAGACCAGGACTTTGATGCCCCAGAATTTCAGGTGGCCCACTCCACAGCTGACTGGCTGGATCCTCTGAATCCCAGCCAGGTTTCACCGGAGGGGTGGAAATCCCCAAGCCCAATGGTGGAGTGGAATTCTCCAAGTCCACAATGGACTCCTCTTGGGAAAATTGTCCCTCGAGCCTGTGACCAGCATCGGAAGTGGCCTGCCTTGCAGATGTGCCCCAGTCATCCCAGTCCCCGTGTATGTGGCTGAGGTGCCAGAGTCAGGAGCCGTCTCCATGGCAACCCCCCTCTCTTCTGACTCCCTGTTCGGAGCAATAATTGAGGTGCGGGATGACCCCCCTTTCAGAGAATTCCTGTTTGGAGCACTTGCTGAACCTGGGTATGACCCCCGAACAGCCTCAGCAGCAGTCTCAGCAGCTTGTGAGACCCTGCTAGAACTGGGAAACTGTAACCCAGAATGCAGATGATGGTCATCCTCCCCCCCCCAGAGCAGAGTCAGGACCAGAAATGTTGTTGGACAACTGCCAGTGCAGTTGGTCAATATGACGCCAAGGCCACTTTGTATGAGAGTAGCCCTGAAATCTTTGCAGACAACAGCACTGACCCAGAGATGTCCAGGACCATAGTTCCTTGCCCAGACCAGATTGCCCACCTGAAGTCTCCTAGGTGCCCACGGCTGTGACACCTGTGAAGCCACCCGGTCTGGATGCAATCTGTCAAACTTTGTGATGAGGCGGTGACCCCAGCGGAGTTCAGCTGGGCTCTTTCCAGTGGCAGTGCATGGAGTGGTGCAATGTGCAAGAAGAAAGTCTGCTAACCTGTGATGCCAGCTACCATGTGTGAATCTTTTGAGTGCGTCCTTCGTTGTGCACACCATCCGTTCTGCTTGCCCATTGGTGGAAGGGTGGAAGGGCGCTGATGTTGCATGCTAGATCAAGTTGGCCTGTAAGAAAACCTGGAACTCAAGAGAAGTGAATTGAGGCCCATTGTCAGATACAAGGACATCAGGAAGTCCATGAGTAGCGAAAATTCCTCTCAACACCTGGATGGTCCTAGCAGTAGTAGTGGAAGAGACAGGTACAACCTCTAGCCACTTGGAGTGGCTATCAACCAGGATAAGGAAGAATTGCCCCTGAAAGGGCCCAGCATAATCTAGATGTACCCTTGACCAAGGGGTTTGTGTCTCCTCCCACCTGTGTATAGGGGCCTGAGGCATTTCAGGCCATGACTGTTGGCACACCTGACACCCGTGCACCTGGGCCTCGATTGCTTTATCAAGCCCAGGCCACCAAAGATGGCTGCGTGCAAGCGCTTTCATGCACACAATGCCCGGATGTCCCTCATACAGAGAGGACAAGACTCTAGATCTCAGTGAGGCTGGGATAACTACTCTACTACCCCATAACAAGCACCCCTTAAATGTAGACAGTTCGTGCCTTCTTTCCCAGAAGCTTTGAAACGCAGCATCTGGACACGTGTCAGGCCATCCTGACAACACCCATGTCAGCATGCGTGTAAGCATGTGATCAGTGGCAGTTTCTGCAGCCACGTCCCTAGCATTGAGGGAAGATTCAGGCAGCTCCTGAATAGAGAGAATATTAACAGCAGGGGCAGGATCTGGCTCTATATGTGTAAGAGGTATTCTACTGAGGGCATCTGCATGGCCCATTTCTTTCCCAGGTTTATGAATAAGCATGTAGTCATATGCTGACAGGAAAATAGACCACCTCAGCATACGTGGGGAAATGATGTGTGGGGTTTGTTTGTTAGTCGTAAACAAACCCAGCAGTGGCTTATGGTCTGTATAGACCGTGAAGTGTCGGCCATATAAGAAATCATGAAATTTCTTTATACCAGCCAGAGAGGCCAAGGCCTCTCTGTCAATCTGAGCGTAATTACGCTCTGCAGATGACAAAGTCCTTGAATAGTAGGCTATAGGGACTTGTGTCCCATCAGCCTTCAGGTGACTAAGTACTGCTCCCACCCCATAAGGGGATGCATCACATCCTTAAAACTCTTGTCATGGACTTTAGTCCACTGCCATGGAGCTTGCTTATCTAGGAGCCGGTGTAATGGCTCAGCCACTGCAGCCTTATGGGGAAGAAATGCGTGATAGAAATTGAGGAGTCCCAAGAAAGCCTGAAGCTCACTTTTAGACTTGGGACTTGGGGCCTCCTGAATGGCCTTCAGTTTGGATTCTGCAGGGTGGATGCTTTGGGCATCTATTCTAAATCCTTAACCTTTCTGCCAAATTTTGTGATGACTCCCCTGCAATGAGGACATCATCAAAGTAGGGGCAAACCCCTGGTATTCCCCTGAGCGTGCACTCCATGACGCTCTGAAATATACCAGGAGCAACATTCACCCCAAATTGTAATCTCTTTACCTTAAAAGTGCCCCTATGGGTCACTATTGTTTGGGCCTCCGCAGTTGCTTCGTCAATAGGTAACTGTTGATAGGCCTGTGCTAAATCAAGCTTTGCAAACAGCTTTCCCCTTTTAAGGGAGGCCAGAGTATGACTTACTACTGGTACAGGATATGCGTGTTGTTGCAAAGCTGTATTCAGGGTGCATTTGTAGTCCGCGCAAATTCGGACTCCCCCGTTAGCTTTTAAAGGCATCACGATGGGGGTTTCCCATGGACTTGAATCCACCGGTGCCAAGATGCCCCGCTTTAAGGCGAATGGCACTCTCCTGGGCTTGATTCTAACAGGTATGATGGCTGGGTTTGGTCGCAAGGAAATGGGAGGCCCTTTGTAAGCCCCAAGCTCTGAGCTAAACACATCTGCAAACTCATTGTAGACTTCTGCAAAGCCTGTAGTTTGCAGACTATTTATGCCAGTTACTTGGATTCCTAAGGCCTCGAACCACGCAAGTCAAATTAGACTTGTACACTCACCCCCAACAACCACCACATCTAATAGACCCTGGAAAGCCTTACGCTGCACTTTGAGTGTAGCTTCTCCAAGTACTTTGACCCTTGAATTTTGAAAATCCATGAGGATTAAATTCGATGGCCTGAGTTTGACTCTAAGGCTACTACTGCTGCAAATTCTTTTAAAGGTAGTGTGTGAAATGATCGATAGAGCGGACCCAGTGTCCAGCTCCATTGACAAGGGAACCCCTTGTAGCTTCACATCAATGCAAGGCTTCTTCTTAAGGGGCTTGTGTGTCCCTGTCCGCAAAATGCTCCTGCGCAATGCACAGAAACCCACCCTATGTTGGCTGGGGACCCAGGTACCTTTCTGAAGGAATTCTTCCCGAAGTTGCACCTGCTGGCAACCCAAACAAATGGAGGCAATGTGGCCTTGCTTACCACATGCCCGGCAAATGGCGGAGTGGAACTGGCAGTCTGTTCACTTGTGGCATTCTCCGCATCCGAGACACTGAAGAGCTGCTGGGACCTTGTCTGGCTTCTCTCACGGCCATCGTGCTGCAGGCTGGTGCAGTCGGTCCACCTCTTCTTCAGGGTCCAGATCTTGAACTTCTTGGGCGTCCTCTCGATGGACGGTCGCAATTGCTGGAGCGTTTCTGGTGAGCCGCAAGGCCTTCACAGCACCGCCTGTTAACTCTTCAGCTGCAACTTCATGCAAAACAACTTGGAAGGTGACTTCAGTTTTGGCAAAGATTTTTTGTTGCAGCTCTCTGCTTCTAAGGCCGCAAACAAAATGGTCTCTTAAGCGTTCTTCCAGGTCCTTGAATTCACAAGGCCTGGCAGCTTGTCTCAAGGCAGCGATGAATTCCGCAGCAGACTCACCAGGCTTCTGGTCCCTTTGTTCAAAAGCGTGCCTCCAAGCAATTATAGATAGCTTCGGATGAAAGTGATCCTTCAGCATGTTCTTCAGGTCTGTGTAGGTTACAGACTCAAGCGGTGCAGGAGCTACTAAATTTTTGGCCATGTCGAAAGTGTCCTGACCGCAGACGCACAGCAGGGTTGCTGCTTTCAAGTCGTCTTCTCGAACCTGGTTAACTCACAGGTAGTTCTCCACCCGGGCTACATAGGAGTTCCAGCGCTCTGGGTGAGAAACGTCAAATTCAGACAAGCGTCCGATTTTCGACATTATTAGCTTCACTCAGCCTCGCTGCAAACCTTCGTTGGGGAAAGGGCCCGATTGCCAAGCTCACCTCTTAGCGTTTGCGTAGTAGCAGGTGAGTGCAGAGCTGGACGCCGACTTCCCAGGTTTCAGGCTCTTTTTGTAAAGCTTATCTTCTTCGGGTTGCCTTCTTCTTTGCAGTGATCTCACCTTCGTCACCAGTTTTATGTCTTGGGATTCACGGCATTGAAGCGAGACACATGTTGTTAACCAAGCTCTTTTCTTTATTTGTTTCACAACACAACTCAGCAAGCAAACAGGCGTGCAGGCCTTTTATAGCCTCCCAAACCCAACCAACCACAAACACGTCTTTTCGCGCCTTGCGCATGTGCACAAGACCGGCGCCAACCAGTCTGGTACCGGGCAGCTTCTAGGTTGCCCGGGACCATTTGCAACATTTCTGGGCCTGCTGAATCACCTCAGCAGGCCCAGGACACAACAATTTCTATAGTTTTTTATTTTAAATTTCATTTTACTGGATTGTTTTTCTTTAAGCAAGTGTTGGCTATAATAAAATTCTCCTAAGAATAATATGCAAGGCATATTTTTCATTCATACATAGAAAGACAGAAATAACACTGATTTTTTTTCAGTATTATATCACCCTCTGTTGATGAGGAGAAAGCATAGCAAAGTTTATTTAACAAAGAAGAAAAGATCTGAAATATCACCCTAAAGGGTAGAACTCAAGAACCTCTTATTTTATACTTTAAGGTATGCATTTTGCCTCTGAAAATCCCATAGAAGATTTCAGATGGGGTGCTCCTAAGCTGCACATTCTGCCTCCTTTACCTAGGACAAGGTAAATACTTGTGGTAAACAGAAGTTTAGTGTAGACAGTTGCAGGAAAGTTGGGTCAAAGGGAGTTAAATCTGAAACCTGATACATTCTCCTAGTGAAACTCTTATCCCATTTGCAATTTGGAAAAAAAAGATAGAAAGAAAAACTCTCCCAGGGACTTTTGAGAGTCACTTTGCACTTTAACCACCTAGTTTAATTACTGTGTTTTGATGCTTAGATCGTATTCTGAGCTCAATCGTTTCAAATTACTTTTTTCCCCAATAAGGGCTTTTTATAATCTCTTCATGATTATAATGCTTATTCTAGCAAGATCCTATTTATTCATTTATTTATTCATTAAATTTATATAGCCAGCCATCACACAAAAAGAATCTCTTCTCTATATATTTTCTGTATCATTGCAGGAATTCAGCATCAAGGATATTAACTACACCTTTGCAGAGAAATAGAACAGAAAAGAAAAACAAATTGGACTTACATTGTATGAACGAGGTGACCCTTTGGCCCAGTTTGTAAAATAGACTCCACTTCCATCAGTCCAGAGGAAACGTCCTTTCCAATTCTTGTCACTGAGTCCAATCCAAGTATCACCAGCAGCATTTTTAAAATTTACTGTGAGAAAAGCTGGGGGGAAATACAGACATACTTATTTTACCATAAAGTATTTTGCAGACCCATCACTTATTATTTGTTTCATCCTTTTTAAAATTTTCTTTGATTATATTAGATTTTTAAAAGTGCTTTACTATACCAGATCAAACTCTGCACACATACAACATTTATGACAGCCATCATTTCTATGTTCCTATCTTAAGAACCTTCCAGGCAAAATATGGAAGGATGTCAGGCAAAAATGCAAAGATACAGTTTGCTTTAAACTGCTGCCATAAATTCAGATATCCAGACTGTAGCTTCCATCTCATGTTCCTAATGATTTAGTAGCCACTCCTGTTGCTTGTCAGTATTTTAGAGCAAGAATTGCTCAGATGCTGATTAGTTTAAGCTATAGGATAAATCTAATTTTCCTCTTATTAGGTAGCAAGTCATTTGATATCTCTAGAAGAGTCACTAATTTTGTTGCAATTGCTGTCTCTATTAGATGTCCTACCATTTAGCAAACAGGTGTTCAAGGTATTTTACTTATTCATTTGTTAAATGTATTTGATGCCTATCTCGAAGTGTGGCTTCTCAAGGAGGCTTATAATAATAAAAAGGAAGAAATAAAAGGCATTTAAATGGAACAGGAATAAAATAATAGAATAATAAATAAACAATGAAAAAGCACAAAATGAGACTACATCAATATGATAATCAAAAAAGAGGGAGGAATGAAGAGCAAAGAGCAAAGGGGGATGGAGGTGAAGTCTGCCATTAATCTATTAGCACCTCCAACTATATTGATGTTATTTTTGCCCACTCAAGGTGGCTCTGGGTGGCTAACAAAACTACTCCCAAACAATAAAACAGAAAACAACAACAACCATGAAATAGCACAGACAGATCAAATGAATAATAACATGAAACCACAACAGTGGCTCCACAAATTCTCTACCCCAGGCCTGGGATCAGAGCCAGGTCTGAAGATCTGTTTAATGAAGAGAAGGATGAGGGGGGACATGATAGCAGTGTTCCAATATCTCAGGGGCTGCTATAAAGAAGAGAGAACCAAGCTATTCTCCAAAGCGCCTGAAGGCAGGACAAGAAGCAATGGATGGAAACTAACCAAAGAAAAAAGGAGAAATTTCCTGACAGTTAGAACAATTAACTAGTGGAACAACCTGCCTCCAGAAGTTGTGAATGCTCCAATACTGGAAGTTTTTAAGAAGAGACTAGACAGTCATTTGTCTAAAATGGTATAGGGTTTCCTGCCTGAGCGGAGGGTTGGACTAGATGACCTCCAAGGTCCCTTACAACTACTACTTCTTCTTCTTCTTCTTCTTCTTCTTCTTCTTCTTCTTCTTCTTCTTCTTCTTCTTCTTCTTCTTCTTCTTCTTCTTCTTCTTCTTCTTCTTCTTCTTCTTCTTCTTCTTCTTCTTCTTCTTCTTCTTCTTCTTCTTCTTCTTCTTCTTCTTCTTCTTCTTCTTCTCCTTCTCCTTCTCCTTCTCCTCCTTCTCCTCCTCCTCCTCCTCCTCCTCCTCCTCCTCCTCCTCATCATCATCATCATCATCATCATCATCTCCTCTAGTCAGATTGCTGTCAATTGTTCTGGGAGCTACGGATCCAGAGGATGGGCATTGCAACCAAGAGGGCATGACAGGATATATAGTGGGACATGTCTTTTGATAGCCAGGATATGACCTACTACCCCTCATATCTGTCCACGAAGACTCAGAAGGACACAAATGTGATCTAACCGGGATCACAGTTGTAACCCAGGCAAAATCAAGGAGAGAAAGAAAATTCCTTGAAGCCTGGTTTTCCACTAATAATTCAATAAATAGACACATTGACATTGACCAAGTCTACCAACCGCTAAGAACGAAAGATCTACTCCAATTCTGAAGGTAGCATTTAAAAATGAACAAACAGCCACTTCACCACACAGCAACAGAAATCATAACCCTTAACAAGAAATCGGACCACGTCTTGGTAATGACAGCCATCCATCCAAACAATCCAAAACCAGACCATGACTCAGAAACACCCAAACAACACTAATGCTAATTTGAATCACACAGATGGTATTTAATACCACAGATTGTGGCCTAGCAACAACAACCAGCCAAACAGTCTGAAATCAGACCATGTCTCAGAAATATTTGAAGAAATAACATTCATACCAATTTGCATCACATAAAAAGGTATTTAAAGGCCAGTGTTCTGACAGATGAGCACAATTCAAAGCGCACTGACAATGTCTCCTCCAATGGTGATGAAATGTTTGCAACCAAATTGCCAACCTCGGAGTTCAAACCAACAGTCCAATTACCAACCCGAGCTACTAATATTCAAACACATTTCATTTTCATATCTTCCAGCTCCTCCTAAGTGGAAAAAGCTTATGTAAACTGGAAATTAGGAAAAAGGCATAGTAATTGCTATAATACTATAATCAAGCCGAAATTCCTGGATTTTAAAAGAAATGTTACTAGTCAATATGGTTTAGAGAAGTGACTGTACCTTGAACAGCTTTGTTTGGTATACTAGCCAGGTTTCCTTCTAGGTTTCTGCAGTGATCCCGTGCAGCGCTCCAATTTTTCTTCTCCTCTTCTCTGAAGCCAAATATTTGGAAGCACTAGAAGGAGAAAAATCCCTCCAAAAATCCATCAATCAAGAAAGGATTAATTGAATAAAAAATAATAGAAGCAACCAATGTATAATCATCAATCGTGAAATGAAATCAGAATTTTTTAGCAGAATTTAGGAAATAATTCAGAATTAATAAAATTAATTAATCTAAGCTGTAATAAAAGTTAACATTTTATAATTTAATTATATGCATTGCTATCTGCTCTTTGGGTCATAACTGACTTCTTAGTGTTTTTGTATTGATGATTGTTATTCAGCCAGGTTTGTCACTGCCACCTTACTTTTGGGGAAACCCAGAAAAGAGGGAGACTGATGAAAAAAGAATGTGCCCAAATCTTTCAAAATCTTGGTGGCATTTGTGAGACAATTCAAGCTTATAGACATGTCCTCCGAAACTACAAATTACCAGATACCCCCCCCCAAAGAACTTTCACGGCCGTGTCCCCCCCCTAGCCAGAGCTTTATGGATGCTTGGCAACCAGCTCACATTTATAGCTATTTGCAGCACTCCATGGTCAAATGATCAGGATTTGTGACTTTTTGTTGTTGTTGCTGGAAACTGATGTTTGCTTCTAGTTTCTGGCAAAAAATGCCTGTTGCAGAAAATGAGCTCACTTAACAAACATGGATTTTGCTTAATGACTGCTACAAAAAAAAGTTATAAAATCAGGTTGGTCACATATTGAAATGACAGGCATGACTTATGACCATAATTTTGGGCTCAATTACGATTTTAAGTTGAAAACTACATGTAATAAATGTTAATAAAAATAGTGGGGAAATAGAATGTGAAAATATACTTTAAATTTCTTTTAGATTTTATGTGAACAGAGCAAAAATGGCATTTATCTAAAATGCTAAATCTATTTCTAAAAACATGGCTCTTTTAGTATTGGTAGCATTTATATTTTTCATTGTTATTGTTGCAGGTATTTCTATTTTGTGGCATGGTTACTCTGTTCAAATATTTTACCTACTACAATAGATGTAATGTAGCACATGAAGATATCTCTTGCTGAACTACCACTGGTTACCTATGGCAATCTCCATGTATTTAGCATTCATATTGCCTTTAGGATGTTTGAACAGGGATGCTATCTCAAAATATTTATATTAGCTACATCCGTTACCTTGTTATTAAACCAAAGCCAGCCTTTACTGCACCCTTTTGGAGTTGCAGGTAATGTGGGTGCTGCAGTTGTACGGACGGAGCTATTGTGTCTCTCGCAGATGAAGCTTTTCTGATCACTACAGTTTATATCATTCCATACACCTGATCAAAGAAGTTATATTGTCAAGATTAATTTATTATTAGAATAAATAGCAATAGATCAGATATGTGTTGCAACCAAAATAATGAGGATGAGAATAATAATGCAAAGTGCAATAGTACATATTGAAATCCTACAGTATTTTTGAAACAATAGAAGTAGTCCTCACTTACCGATTACTCATTCAGGTAACCATTCAAAATTACAATGGTACTGAAAAAGAGGATTTAGGACTGGACTTCAAAGTTGTAGCCATTGCCACGTCTCTATCGTCACATGACTGTGATTCAGGGACAGGCAGTTGACACACATTTAAGACTATTGCAGTGTCCCCTGGTCAGATGATTTTCATTTATGACCTTCATAACTGGTATTCAACAAGCAAACTCAATGGGAAAGGTGACAGGTGGCTGCAAGTTATGGTCACATGACATTGTGTTTATTGACTGCAGGTGATTTGTTAATGAACACAACTGAAACTGTCATGATAATTCAGGCACAGTCATGTGTCTTTCATTTATGACTGTCGCTTAGCAATGGAGCTGCCAGTCCCAATTATAGGAGATTAGTGAGAACTACTGTATTCTTATATTTGTAATATGAATGTCAATAATTTTAGAACATAGTTCTAAGAGATTGATAGGTGACTATAGCTATTTTGGAATGCAATTACTTTAATCCCTGACCATTGGCAAGACTATTTGGGGTTTATGAATATTGCAAATTAGTTTTCCCTGAGAATATATATGTAGTAACTAAGTTAAGTGGGTTGGATCTATGGATGAAAATAATATGCTATAATATGCTTGTTTGGAAAATGATACGCTGTAACAATTAATGTTAATGTAAATGTTTACATCATAATATAAATCAAGTTAATTAGAGTTACAAAATAATGTATTTTTAAATACTTTAATGATGGAATCTATAATACTGTGTGCTAGTTATCCCAAATTAAAGAATGCTGTGCCTTAACCTGAACATATACATACAGATAACTGTTGAAAACCTGAAGTTTATTTTACTTGCCTGAATCATAATACATAACTACACAGTGTTCATCTTCATTGGTAAAGTTGGGTTCATCGGGGGCCCAGGCTTCATATGTCACTGGAGTTCCATCCATCCAGCTGAAGAAAAATATTTAACAGTCACCTATGGTGCTCTGAAGTCAAAACGATTATCGGAAGCTCAAGAACAGGTGTTCCAAGGATATTTTGAATTTGAAATGTTTTGCATTCTTCCATTATTAAATCTCATTATTTAAAGACAATATAACCCCACCAAGTGGACAATACAAACAATGTAAAACAAAAGAAAATAAGCAAACAAACAAAGAAAAACAGAGTTGTATAGCAAATTTACAACTATTGAGAAATTACAGGTAGTCCTTGAGGTATGAGGCAATTGGGATTAGGATTGCTGTCACTTAGCAATGCAGTTGTAAATGTGACATCCTGTGATTTAATCGCTTAGCATTGGCGATCCAGGCAGTCGCAGTTATTTATTTATTTATTTATTATTTGAATTTATATCCCGCCCTTCTCCTTGCGGACTCAGGGCGGCTGACAATCAATTAAAAACACCACTAACAATCACAAGTTAAAATTAATTAAAATGAAATATTTAAATTGTCTAATTAAAAAGTAATTAAAAACCCCTCTAAAAAACCCCTCTTAAAAATTATCCTAGGCCAGTCNGAAGGGAGATCAGGGATCACCCTGATCTCTGGGGGCAGCTCATTCCAGAGGGTGGGAGCTCCCACAGAGAAGGCCCTCCCCCTTGGGGTCGCCAGCCGGCACTGTCTGGCCGACGGCACCCTGAGGAGACCCACCCTGTGGGAGCGTACTGGCCGATGGGAGGTAATCTGTGGCAGAAGGCGGTCTCGAAGGTATCCCAAGGTAGGTGAGCTATTAAGCGGAAAGCAGAGGCAATCACATATAAGGAGCATGAGGATACTGCAGGGGATTTGGAGAGGCCCTGGGACATGCTTGAGTTGGGATGGTGGTGCACTTCGGCATGATCTCAGGGAGGGGAAAGTGAGTTGGGGTGCATGTTCAAGCACAAGAAGGCCATGGAAAGAGGTGTATGCATACATGTCTTCATGTCTGCATCACAGAAAGGAAGGGGAAAGTGGGCAAGGAGAGCAAGCATATTAATTCAGGGAGATTGGGAAAGAGGATGTCGATTGGTGTAAGTCTGTGTGTAGGCATAGGGAGGCCTAAGAATGAGGGCTCTGATGAATGCATGTTTAAGCTTCAGTGCAGTGGAACCCAGTGAAAAAGGGTACTGGTGGGTGTGAGTAAGTGAAGGGGGAAAGAAGGCACACTGTGTATGAGTGAGCAAAGGCCTGAGGGAAGAGACTTAACCAGAGCAACTTGTGACATTCCTTGTTGGCTTCCCTATTGACTTTTCTTGTGGGAAGCTAGCAGAAAAATTACACATGCAAGCTGCTTGCCAAGGGCCCAAATTTTGTTAATGTGAATGCAGGATACTGTGACAACCAGAACTTTGAGGGCCAGTTGTAAATCCTTTCATTCAATGTCATTCTAACTTTGAACAGCCACTGAACAAATGATTGATATATCATATCAGATTATCCATTATTTAGATTTTTTTTAATAAAAAAAAATTCTGGGATTCGAAAACCTAGAATTGCCTAGGAACATGGCTACACAATATGACATATCAGTGCAATTTCTTTTAGACGAATGTTTATTTTTGGCTTCCCATTTCAGTGAATGGACTTATGAACAACAACAACAACAACAACAACAACAACAACAACAACAACAACAACAACAATAATAATAATAATAATAATAATAATAATAATAATAATAATAATAATAATAATAATAATAATAATAATAATAATAAAGTTGGAAGGGACTTTGAAGGTCATTGGGTCCAACCCCCTGCTCAGGCAGGAACCCTACACCATTTCAGACAAATGGCTGTCCAGTCTCTTCTTAAAAACTTCCAGTGTTGGAGCATTCACCGCTTCTGGAGGCAGGTTGTTCCACTGGTTAATTGTTCTAACTGTCAGGAAGTTTCTCCTTAGTTCTAGGTTGCTTCTCTCTTTGGTTAGTTTCCACCCATTGTTTCTTGTCCTGCCTTCAGGCGCTTTGGAAAATAGCTTGACTCCCTCTTCTTTGTGGCAGCCCCTGAGATATTAGAACACTGCTATCATGTTCCCCCTCTTCCTTCTCTTCGTTAAACTAGACATACCCAATTCCAGCAACCATTCCTTATATGAGTATGGTTCTCTAGCTTATCTTGATATTTGGTTTGAATCTGATCTATTTGTACCACATTAGGTGCAAACAATAGTGAAAAATATAAGAACTGTACCTACTTTTGTATGAATATTAAAACCAGATATTTTATTTGTTTCAAGTGAAAATATTTTAGCCTAAAGTGAACAAGGCACTGCCATATGGTTACTACTATTACTTTTAGATTTTCTAAGTATTTTTTTCCTTATTTCTGAGACATTGGTACTCTTTTAAAGAGGTACTCTTCCTCTTTACAAAATTTAATTTTCAGAAGAAAATTTTTGAAAATGTATTGAGCACTGAAGTTCTATAGCTGCTTTTTTCAAGGTTAAAGTAGACAATTTGTGTGTTTTTTTACAGATCCAAGCTGGATATATTAGATTAGATATATTAAATATATTCCATATATATTTAGGTGGACAATCACCTAAATATGAGCCAGTAGTGTGCTGCAGCTTCCAAAAAGGCCAACACAGTGCTAGGCTGCATTAACCGGGGGATAGAATCAAGATCATGTGAAGTATTAATACCACTTTACAATGTCTTGGTAAGGCCACACTTGGAATACTGCATTCAGTTTTCATCACCGCAATGTAAACAAGATGTTGAGACTCTAGAAAGAGTACAGAGAAGAACAACAAAGATGATTACGGGACTGGAGGCTAAAGCATATAAGGAACAACCTGCCTCCAGAAGCGGTGAATGCTCCAACACTGGAAGTTTTTAAGAAGAGACTGGACAGCCATTTGTCTGAAATGGTGTAGGGTTCCTGCCTGAGCAGGGGGTTGGACCCAATGACCTTCAAAGTCCCTTCCAACTTTATTATTATTATTATTATTATTATTATTATTATTATTATTATTATTATTATTATTATTATTATTATTATNGTAAATAATAATAATAATAATAATAATAATAATAATAATAATAATAATAATAATTATTATTATTATTATTATTATTATTATTATTATTATTATTATTATTATTATTATTATTATTATTATTATTATTATTATTATTATTATTATTATTATTGATTATAACTTCCATAATATCCAGTGCTGGCTGGCACATATGGGATTTGTAGTCCAGCATATCTGGAAGGAGCCAGCTCAAAGAAGGCTGGCATAGTATATACTTTAATCCTAAAATGATTATAATTCGTTAAACTAGACATACCCAATTCCAGCAACCGTTCCTTATATGCTTTAGCCTCCAGTCCCCTAATCATCTTTGTTGCTCTTCTCTGTACTCTTTCTAGAGTCTCAACATCTTTTTTACATCGCGGTGACCAAAACTGGATGCAGTATTCCAAGTGTGGCCTTACCAAGGCATTGTAAAGTGGTATTAATACTTCACATGATCTTGATTCTATCCCTCTGTTAATGCAGCCCAGCACTGTGTTGGCTTTTTTGGCAGCTGCAGCACACTGCTGGCTCATATGATATTTAAATAGATTACTGAGTAAGTTCTTTTGCATTGACTATGTTAGGAATTCTCCTGTGGTTAGTTTAGATACAAATAATTATAATTTACAGAATAGCAATAAACTAAATGCTATATGTAGCACCAGCTGACAAGCTTCTGTTTTGTAATTTCCAACATGAATAGATCTAAACATCAGAAATATAACTTCTATTATATATTTTTCCTGCATAGTCACAAAGTTGAAATGCCACATGGCAGCATTCATTGTTGTATAGAGTTAAATGTTTGTGCTTGGATTTTTTTTTAAATTATCAAATATATAATGATATGTTGAGAGCTTGAAAGAGATTCACAGCCTGCCTACTTGCACCTTCCTCGCTTCCTTGCTGGGTTGTAGATGGGCTATTAGTAAAAGCTGAAGAAGTGTTTATCTTAAGGAACTGAGAAATAAATTGGGTTCCAAAGTAAAAGCATTGAAAATAGAGTTCTTTTCCCTTTCAGTAAATCTTATTAAAGAAAAACCTGACACAATCTATTTTTCAGGAAAATTAGTTGTCTTATTTATATTTATTCTAGTTTATTATTAAAAATAATTTAAAAACAGAATTTAATTGCATGCTGCAGAATTTGTCAATCAGTTTTATGTATTTTATTCACTTACCCAAATTTTTTGTCAAGACTCAAATATAAACCAATATAGACATCACAATGAATTCCATAGTTGACAACCTAAAATGTAAAAGAAAGAATAGGGAATAAAAATAGTTATTTACAATTTACTATTTTTAATATAAAGTAATGAAATAGCATACCAAGAAATTTAATTCAATTATTGTATAGAGCATCAAAACCAATAATCCAATATAGGATAGAATATTTCCTAGTATGTTTGTGTTTTATCAAACACAGTGTATAATTAAAAATATTCTTTGCAAATCATGTTGAATCTAAGCACAAAATATTTTTTTTTGAAATATGTTCTGCTTTTTAACAATGTATTTTTTGAAAATATTATTCACTTATTGTGTCTTTAAAGTTCCAATGATATTAATTTAATGGTTGTCATCATATTATATATTTTATCCAATAACAGATGTATATCATCACAAAAACTAGAAAAAAAAATCTGAAAACTTCTACTCTTATATTATTTACACACACACACAGAGAGAGAGAGAGACAGAGACAGAGATGCACACATACTCATGGATTATACATACATATCTATATATACCCATATATATATACTTTATAAAACTTGTTGTTTTGCATAGGTAATTATTGCATATATTTCTTACATATCTCCACAAAAATACTTTTTCTTGTTTACTCTCAATAGTGGTAAGATCAGCACCATGTTGTTTGCAGAACTTCCGGGCTTTTTCTGCAGGCATTGTTTTATTACTGAAATAATACTCATTCCTTTCAAATGCAATCCAGCCATCTTCAACTCTTTTATAACTATATTCTGCAAAAGAAGAAGTAGAAGAAACAACTTATATGTCTAGGATCCCTTTTTATCCATCCCAGAAATCCACAAAGCAAAAAGATCCACTTGAAGGTTCCACGCTGTTCTTTTGGGCAAAGCTCTTCTTTCCAAGATCTTTTGAATATGAATGAGCACACCCAAAAGACACATCCATATAATAGCTGGCAAACTGACCTCAACTGAGTGCTTCCAATAGCTGGAAAAGGCTTCTATGCAAATGTTCCAGAATACACAAATGTCTCTTCTGGGTATTAGATTTACTGGGATGAGTCATAGGACAAAGCAGTGTAAAGCGAAGCAATGAGGAGGCCATTTTAATTTGCCTTCAGAACTAGCTGAAAACAGAAATGGGTTGTTGTCTTATGCAACTGCTTAGATCTCTTGATTCAATCAAATCACTATCCAATGCAACCACTTATCAAAGTTTTGCATATTTGAGAATGTTTTTTAAAATTTTCCAATGATTTTTATGGATATAAAAATGCCTTACATTTTAGTAACTCCTTGGTTATAGCCATATCCTATATATGCTTGGGAAGTCCTTATTCAATTATTGTGTCAACTCTACAATGAACCTGGCTGCAGCCATTTACTTCATTCTAAGTTGCCACATGATTGGGAGGGGGATGAAAGATTTCTACTAGTCTAAACATTTTACTGTCCCATGGGAACCAAGGTCATTTCTGTCAGTTACATAGGGGTGGGAGCATTTAGTTAGAAAGCCCGCCAAACTCTTCTATTGGGGAGCGTAGCTAACCGCATAGCACTGGGGTGGGGAGTTCAACTTTGTAATATTGTTGCTTTCTCAAGGGAACTTCAGACTTGGTTTCACTTTTGACTGTGCTGATACTATCTAACCAATAAACATGTTCTTTGAGGGAATCTCAAGCCTTGGAGTTCTGATTTATTTGGTTTTGTCTATCAAAACCATGACATATTATCTGTGAAGAGAAGGTCAATCACATATGGTACACTTCTTTCACTTAAAGGAAATCACAAATCTATAGCTTTACACCATCCAGAACCAGCGTCTGGCTTTCTTCAGTGCTCTGAGAAATTGGTTTGCTTACAAATTCAATAATCACACATCACATTTTAGGAATGCTTTTTTATGTACAGCTAAATTTACCTCAAATCAAACTAAAATACAAAGCACAGCCCTGGTTCCTATTAAATAATACATACAACATTTTTGACATTAAATTGCTCAACATACCAAAGTTATTGCTTGGTTCTGGATTTAAGGGTGAACCTGAAAAAATAAATATTTTAATTACAAAGACATCAAGCTTAACCTTAACATGTTACTTCTTATGGCAAAAGACAATTCTCAAAAATTGAAATGTTGTATAGCTTAATATATTTCTACATTTGTAAGTAAATAAAACTGCAAACTGGATCCCAGTTTCCCTCAACACGCAAATGGCCCTCACTCTGGTGTTGTTTAGGAGATCCATGAAGACCTGTCTCTTTACTCAGCCTTTGGCAAGGAAGAGGGAAATCCCTCACTTCATTGCACTTGCCATGTTTTATCTTTCTCTTTTTTCTTTTGCTGGTTTTATTCAAATTTCTTTGTTTGATTGGCAGCATACAAATTTCATGAATTATTAAGATGATGATAGTGGTGGTGATGATTATGATTGTGAAAGAAAAACTATTGGCATCAATAATGCCTTCTTTGGAGTAAATTCATGCAGATATTTATACAGTATTTGACATTGTACTATGTTACTTAATTAGTCATACAGTAAATATGACTAATCTGCAGTCTTAAAAGGGAATTGTATTTAAGATTCTTAAATTCCTCCCCCAAAAGAAAGAGAGACCATATGAACTGTAAAAGAAGTTTATATGGTCTCTCTTTCTCTCTTTCAAATTTTACAGTTGAACAATATACCAATAAACTACTTGAGAATGAAAAGCATATTACCTCTTGTAATTTGACAAATCCAATTAAATATCTCATGACAGTATAAAGATGACCAGGATCCAGTATTTCCCCATATTACTTTGCATCGTTCATCAAAAACTGTTTCTGAAGCCTACAATAAAAATTAAAAAAATTACTTTCTAAAAGCTATCAGTTTTAACATATGGAAAAAACCAAAGGTATCATAATTACTGTTTAATGATTTGTGTCTGCATGTTTGATAAGCTGTTAGCAAAATTTTGCCAGTGTGATTTTGAGTATTGAAATTGAAGGAGTGGAAGCTAGCATGTACTTTTCATTTAAGCCTGATTCACTGATGTAACCTTTTTAAACAAATCATCACATATTTTAACACAAAACATGGCACAACTCTGTAAGAGGAACTAGCAACAGTTGCATTTTATAAAACATTTATATGCCTTTACTCTGGTGTTGTTCCAGATGCTTTTGTTGGTTGTGTCTTGAAGATAATGTAGGAAAAGGAGCTAGGATGAGGATTTGAGAGTTTGAGGATAGGACAAGACTGAATGGGTGGGAACTCATCAGATCCAACCTGGAAACAAGGGAAAATTTTCTGACAACGAATTCTATTAAGCACTGGAGATAGGGCGGTATATAAATTTAAATAATAAATAAATAAATAAATAATAAACAGCCTCCCAGAGTTGTGGGTGCTCTATAGCTAGAAATTTGCAATAAATTACAGGATAACCATTTGTCTGAGATGGTATGAGGACTCTTATCTTGGGCAGGGGGATTGAACTAGAATCCTCCCAAGATCCCTTCCAACCCTGTGAGTCTGTGATTCTATGAATTATAGGAAATATGTTTTTCTATGCATGGCATTTTAAAAAAATCATTTTCTACTTTTTGTATAAATTGCCCAGAGTGTTCCAGAGCCTCTAAATCTTATAAAAATGGATAGGATGGAATGGGTTGGGTTGGGTTGGGATGGGATGGGGTGAGGTGAGATGGGGCAGGGCAGGGCAAGGCAAGGTGATAGATCAGATAAGAGTCAGCAGAGGAGGTAACAAAATGAATGGTTGTATTTCCAGGTACTGGATACCAGTGCCTAAAAAAGTTTCGCCAAGAAGCTATTTTTATAATAAAAACTATTTACACTTTAAATATGATTACTGAACATAATTGTGAACTATTATATACTTTTTATATGTATGTACTTAAGTGTAGTAACAAACTTCATAACATGATTTCTATGGGTTCAAGTTAATTAAAGATTTAAATTAATTATGCTTTACAATGCTGACTTTAGGTTGTCTCTTTCTTATTCTGAAATTAGAAGCTTTGTTTATTTCATGTTTTTTTAAAGTTCTCTTAAAATGCTACAGTTTGCAAAACAGTGACAGAGTTTAAGTTTGACATTTTCAACCATTTTAAACTTCCCCATTTTTGTCTGTCCATCTGTCTGTCTTTCTCCACTTACAGATCATAACCAATTTAGTGGCTTACCTATTCAATTCCATAAAATAAGGTGGAAAAGTACACAAAAATCAAAGTAACAGACAATTTACAATCTATGCCAAAGATAATGTAATCACTTAGTGACTGCTGGAAGTTACAATAGAGCACTACCCACAAACACATTTAATGAACATGATGCTTGCTTAACGACTGTGTCATTCACTTTACAATAACTGCAAAACAGATTGTAAAATAGGATGTGGTCTCATGGTGACATGCTCAATGATCTTTAAGAATTTACAACTGTATTTCTGGGTTCAATTATAGCAATAGCATAGACTTCTATATATCCTTGTGTAAGCAGTTTACAGAATCAGCATATTGCCCCAAAAATAGGGATCCTTATTTTACTGACCTCAGAAGGATGGAAGGCTGAGTCAACTTTGAGCCAGTCTGAATCGAACTGCTAGCAGTGGACAGAGTTAACCTGCAGTACTGCATTCTAATCACTGGACTACTATGGCTCATTTATAATTGTAAGTCAAGGATTACTTATAAACAAATTCAAATCAACACTACTTTCTGAGAGGCAATACTTGACAACATTTTTTATCTGAGATATTCAGAAAAGCCAGGTTGTAATCACCTTTCTAAAACCGGAAGTGCTCAGGCTGTATGGATCTCAAGGGGAATGCTATTCCAAAGGATGGGGGAAGCAACCAAAAAGGCTCATCTCTGAGGTTACTGAAGACAACATTCTCTGAAGGAAGGGACCCAAATGAAAATTTGGTCTATTCTACCACATCTTATGAAAAGGTATAAAGAACTGGAAAAATGGATTCCCAAAGATATATAGGTTTTATCCATGCAGGTTTTAAAGTGAATAACTAGCAATTTGGATTATAGATTGTAACAATGCAGCTTTCAGAGAAGAGATGTTAAATGGACAAATTGTTTCTATCCCAGATGCTGAATTCTGGAACAACTCTAGCTTCTGCCTTTAAAGGTAGCCCTGTGTAAAGGACATTTCAGTACTTCAAACGAGAGATCAAGATATGTGTGACTGTGAATAGTGTTTCTCATTCTAAGAAAGGCTATAAATGACACACTAGGTGGAGTTGTGCAAAAGTCCTTCCTTGTCATAATTGTCTCAAGCAGCAACTGTGAGCCAAGAAGGATAACTAGATGATGAACTAGTACATAACAGGCGAGTGTGATTTTTTCCATAACTAGGACGGAATCGCCCTGCAGTCAGTTGGCTTCTTAATTCCAAACTGATCCATATTGCTGGGATTAAAATCCCATAGATCCTATTTAGGTCTTCTCAATTTAAACTGTTTTTATGTTTATCTTTTTACCATTTTGTAAATCACTCAGAATAGCC